ATGTATTCAATTTTAATTCAAGGGTTTAATATCATTCATCATTGTATACGAAGAATATTGTATCTGAACGATGACGGTCTGTCTGCCTATTATAATTTATATTACCAAGTATAATATTATCTTATGATGTTATTTCATAATACCTAATATTAAAATATTATCATTACTTAATATTGCTATCTACAGGGGACTGGGAACAACGTGCATATTACGCATTCCTATGGAAACTTCTAACCCGTGTAAATTAATCGGCATATTTTGTATAGTTTTTCGTTTATTATCGAATTATGCACAAGTCACGGTCGTATTGTGTATTTGTGTTGGAAAGTAATAACATATATTGTTACCATTGATAAATATTTTTATATAATAGTTTATACTGTGTTTTTTAAACTCGTTAACGAGTAGCGACTCAGCCAAGATTTTAAATCAAAATCAGAAATGCGTAGAATGGTTTTATTTTAATGTCTACTCTATTGTAGCATTGTCTATGTACAATACATAAATTATGGAAAATATTAACAGTCGCACAAATAACAAAAATATTGGTTAAAATTATCTTATAACGTAATTTGGGTTTTAGAAATATGTATTTTATTTATACGATTAAAAACAAGAAAAACAGGAAGCAGTTAAACAATCACTATGATAAAATTAATAGTATATATTATATTTATATATATGTTGTATTTTCGATAATTAAACATTTGTAACGAAAAACTTAAACAAAATATCTTAATAGTGTTCAAATAACATTATTAACCTCACTATGTAATCCTATATTAACTTAGGTAATAGAAAAAAATGTTTCTAAAATCAAATAAAAGAGCTCATGAAATATGTTCACAATTATAAAAAATCACAAGAATACATTTTAAACAAAAAAGTTCAAACAAGTCTACAATATATTGTAGATATTGTATATATATCATATATGTACCTATTCTATATACCTATGGCATACATATTATAGAATAAAAACATCATGAAATTAACATACCGATAAAGCTTAACAAATATATTCAAGGCCTGGTTTAATAAAATTAGGGCCAGGAGCACAATTTTTATGCCCCCCCCCCCAAGTCAAAAAACGGTCTAGAAAAAATCTACATATAGAGGAGGGGGGGGGGAATGATGACAATAAAAAAAAATATTTATATGTTAAAAGTGTTAAGTACCTATCTCAAAACTCATAAAATATTTGTAAATTATTTCATGTACTATAAATACAATTTCGTTACTTGGTCTAATTAATTATAAAAATGGTAAATAACTTATTAACTAACAATTTATTTTATATAATTAAAAATGTTTATAACATTTTATCATAAAAAAGTTTAGTACTGACGTGTGAGCACAACGCTAATGTATACGGGAACATTGGACTTTAATGACTATATACAGTGAAACCTCTGAATAGCGGACACTCTCGGTCACAGAAATGTTGTCCGTTATTCAGGAGGGATTCATTATTTTTTAATATTTGTACAAATTATTATTATTTAAAATATATTTTTATAATCAAAATCGAAACTACGTAAATGTATTTTTTAAATTATTTCTATTTGAAAAAATTTGTGAGCTTTGTCTGTTTATAATTACGCCGTCTCTCTGCAATCTCATCAGTAATTTCATTCGCTAATGTTACAGGCGTTACAGCAGAAGTGAAAATAGAACTGCCTTTACCTCAATTGATGAAATAAAATGACTTACGTTCATTAAAGCTGACAACCCGTCCTTTTCCGATATACTTTTGTCTTAATACTCATAAACGTTTCACAAATAACCGAATTTGTCGAAATCTTATCGTCCCAAAATGAGTTTGGTATCGTAATTACATTATTACGAGAGTACAATATAAGAATGCGAATACGTATTATTTTCAAATAAAGATTAAAATAATGTCCGCTATTCGGACTTTCGTAGAGTCGGCTATTCGGTGGGTTTCCCACTGAAAAGTAGTAAAAATGTCCCCGTTCCCACAAAAACGTCCGCTATTGGAGGTGTCCGTTAGTGGAGGTTTCACTGTATATTTGTTCATTTATAACATTTAATGTTTTTCAGTATTCATTTCCGTGAATTAGAATAACTGATTGAAGCATATAATATATAATATTGTCAAAATCGAATGAATTATAAAGCAGTGATTCTAAAAATGGTCATTGTGCGAGCAAAATGCTCATAGCGTCACCAACGACGGGTTAATCTGTAAATACTGGGCTCGAAGAAATCTATAAATATTTATTACTTATTAGATATCAAATATTTCCGATGTTCATATAATTTTCTATTATTATTATTTTAACATTTTGCGATAGTAACTGATTAGCAATGGGATGTGGAATGACTATCAAAACCAAAATTCAACTGACAATTCAATAATAAAAATATACTGCACTCTGAACGTTGACAGTTGATATTACATTTTACGAAATAAATTTTTGAGGAATTAATTTTTAAAAAAAATGTCTACAACTTACAGAGACTGGGGGGCTCTAGAAATTGGGGGCCAAGTGCAAGTGCTCCATCTGCACTTGCGTAAATCAGGGCCTGAATATATTACTTACATTTGAAATTAGAATATTATATAATCAATAATGGCTGATATAATAAATTAGTACTAATACCGTATACAAGATTTATAAGAACGATATTCAGTTAACATTTCAGTAGTGTTTATATAAAGTTAGGTAAGTACTGCGCGACTCCTACTCCTGCCACAGTGGAGGTAAAATACAGCCTCATACAATTTACCTCCACCAACCCACACATCATTGATCAATCTATAAGTTGAAAATAGAACAGGCTATATTTTAATTTTCATCGATTTTACAATGATATTGTGTGTTTTTTTCTTTGTGTCTGTGTGTACACGATAAGTAGTCAAAATAATTGAATTTATTTACAAAGTTTAAAAAGTCCTACAGAAAGAATATAACATTCTATTTATAAAATAAATATTTTTTTTACTATCTATAGATATATAAGTATATAACCTAGGTATAGTAGACGATTATAAAATAAGTAATTATTACTAAGTACCTTGCAAATCGTGTAAAGTAAGCCACGAGACACTAGGCACTAATCACTATAGGACACTAGGCAAACATTTAATAAATCAATAGCGAGCGAATGGCTTAAACATGATTTAATAGCCCATGATTGGTCAATTATATTTTAGTGAAGCATTAAATTAAACCATGTTTTTATGCAACTCGACGACACGACTTTGTACAACTGTACAACATACGAATCACATTTACACGAAAATTATTCGTTGGTTACTTTTTTGTCAGTCCTACCTACGGGCCAGATAATGCGAACACTGATACTCGCTTTTTACTGATATTATGAGTTATAATACAATTTATAGTATTCGTGTGTCTTAAACCGTTTTAACGCCATCATAATCGTAATATTAATCTATAGCCGGATTCTTACTAACCGCATCTCGTGTTAAGTTGAATATTTTCAACTTGTAGGTACCGTGTTACCAACATTTTGTACAATACTAAAGTAGGTATTAAATACAAGGTGACCCGACAAGACACCCTCGATACTCTGTCCAGTGCGAGATTATTGAATAGTATACCCAGAATACGCCACCGCGCCTGTTCTGCCTTCTGCGCATGTAGGCTGACGCCAGAGCCCACGCCGATGCCTTTATAGTTTGAACCCGGCTTAACAGTACCTACCCTGTATAAATGCCAGTATGGAGTCAATTTTATTACTAAAACCACGGACGATGGAAATCGAATAAATTAATTGCGGTTTTGAATTTTCTTGAATGTGGGACAAAGGCGGATTTCAAAAGCCGTACAGACCTCGGCACACCACTATTTCGGACATTTTTAGAGATTTTGTTGCTTCATGGCGTTCTAACAATTATTGAGGGCATTAATTGTCTACAGAATTATTACAGCTATTAAGTATTAAGCTATTAAGGGGTCGAAAAAATAAATAATAATCGTATTCTCGAAGAGTTGCAGTAATAACATTACAGGCTATAGGTAGTGTCAAAATTTTCATGAAATATAACATTTTAAAATGTTTTATGAAATACATATTTCAATGAAATTTGTTTTATTTATTTTTCCATCGATTGGTTTGTCATTAGTTATTGTTTTCTTTCGTGTAATAAAGGTATTATGTAATATGTTTATTTTTCATCCAATTCTAGAAACACTGAATTTTTGCCGTGAGTCGACTCATGTTGAGCAAATACTGTACTCGATAAACGTTTGTACTCAAATGTTTATTGAATCATGATATTACATTTGAATAAATATTAAATTTGTATACACTATATGCTAATACACCATAAAATAAAATTGTTTATTATAAATGAAGATAAACCATGTTTAAAATAGAAATTAAGAAAATAAAATATAGACTGTCATCTACAGTGTTACAAACAGACTTGCAATTATAATTAATTATTATATAATTGCATTAGTTTATATTTAGTTACTTAAATAGTATAATTATTGCATCGACGTCGGAGATAAACCTGGGAAAAAAAAGTTTCTCTTTAAATAGTCGAAAACAAGACCGTAATACATTCTTATCATTAATATGTCGATCACAACACTCTTAATGCATTAATCTTGTCAATTTTTCACGTTTTTGATTTCAAACACTAGCTATAGCTACACTAAAATGGACGTAAATAAATAATATTAATTTTACGATGATAGGGGCCGACAGGCGTATCGTGTGCTCTAAATAATATTGTTTGTTTTGCGCAGCAGATAATACGGTTTGCCCCGATTGCGGATAACAAAAAAAAAAAAAGGTGATAATAACAACAATGCAACGATAGCCTGCTAAATTATACAACGACGGTGACGTATCACGTATACCAGACCACCTCCACAAACCGCACTCCACCTCCACCGTTTCGTCCATGAGATAATCGTCGGCGGCGGGGGAGTGATAAGGAAACGGCATCATCCCATCGAAGCCAAACACTGAAAACAGTGACCCGCGCGACCGCACTCCTCACGACCACAGTATCAGTTAAGGTTCCGCACAGTCCACAACACAATAGCAGCGTTGCACTTGCAGCAGCCCCGGACGCCCAGCCGACCTGAACAGTGAACATCACGCTCGAGCGTGACTACCGCCTTTGCCGTTCAGTGTTTTCTTTTTTCTCCGGTACTGCGCGTGCGTGTCTATTCGTGCGCACACCTGGCCGTGTGTTTTTCTCTGCGCGCGCGCGCTTGTGTGTGTGCGTGTGTGTGTCTTTATTGTTTGCGTGTGTTTGTGCACGGCACTTACGCCGTTTGTTTTTTTGGCGATTTTTCGCTATCAAGAGTTCGTTTTCGTCTTTTTCGTCGTCGACACCACTTCGTCGTCGTCGACATCACCGCTGCCACCGTCGTCGTTCTATAACGCCGCACCGTCGTTTTCGCGACGGTAACTGTCACGCAGCGAAACACGCCCGCGTGAACGATAGGGGTTCCCAGGGACCGGACACGCGTCGTCGTCGTCGGCACGCCGTCCTGCGGCTGTGCGCGCGCGAACGCAACCGTGGAAACCGCACGCTCTCGGAGATGTGACCGTCGGACTCGTGGCACAGCCGCAGACGCTAGCCGCAAGCACGCGGTCCAGTTGACGCTAGCCGCCGCGTCCGCAGCCGCCAGCCGCAACATGGCGTCGTCCAACACGGATTCTCCTGGTAAGTATCTTCGGCGCACCGTCGCTACCGTCCCCAAACGCCCCTCCCCCCGCATCTCACGAACCGGCACAGTCACAATCTCTCTTTGACGGTTCTGTCCGGCTGTTACTGGGTCCTATGCTGTGCATTAAACTAGGTTCACATGTTTACGATTGTTTGAAAGCCAATTCTGCCCTCATACAACATTAGTTAAGTGTGGCAGGCATAATGTGACGTCATGCAATATAATATTTTGACATTCAAGAACTTGCATGTGTATTGTTATGGTGCAAATGCGTTCAGTTAGGTTTGTGCACGTATAACACGACACAAGCGAGAAAAGCAATACTTTAAACTCTGCTTTACGCAATCATCGGCGACTAGTCTGGATGCTGATAATTTGCTTAACGGATCAATTATTTTTTCCCAACACTAGGCAGCAGGCACCTATCTTACGACTTAATTTTGTCTATTGTGGGTGCTAAATGTAAATGTTTATTTAAAAAATGTTATACTGTGACACAATATTGTCTTATCATCTGATATTATCAGACTAAGTCTGTGTTTGTCTTTCACACCTTTTAGTGCTTCCTAATTGTAATTAGCTGCCAAGTTAAATGTATCTCACTGTTAACAGGTTTGATTTTTGGTTTGCCAACGTTAGCCAGAGTTTGGATTTTATAGTATTTGCTAGTTATTATAGGATACCGCCAAAAATAGCAGAGTGAGCCATAAATTGGTGTTATGCATCAGGGACTCCAAATATTAAATTGTATTATGGTGTGTTTTGTAATTTTGAAGTTTTGGTGATACTTTTTGCTAATATTATATAATTATGCTAATATAATGCTTTATTTTGTGTTTATCCCAAGTCCTGTTTATACCACCTAATGAAAAACAGTATAATTTATAAATACATGATATAAACATAGTATTAATTTATAAGAATCCATAGAAAAAACTTACATATTTTCGTTTCATATCGGCTATATTGAATATTGTAAGTACATTTACGACTTTTTATCAGTTTTATTTAGATATTTATTTTATTTGATTAATGTTCATATTCTAGAATATAGTATCGTACTCGGTATCGTACATATTTCAGTGTTACTAATCAGTTCTCTGTATTTAAACTGTTTTTGAATTTGTTTACAATTGTTAACTCAAAAGTGTATTATTTGTTTTTATGTTTCATTTTTTTGTTGTTGCTATTTTTTAGGGAATGTTGAAGTGCATATTTTAAGGTTTTTTTTATCATAATATTATAAAGCATATTTCAGTATTTTTCAGTGCTATAAAGTCCTAACCCTGCTGACAATTGATTACTTAATTAAATAGTTTCTACTTAGGTACATAATATGAAATGATTATATTATCTCAAGTATTTGTACATATTTTGTTAGACTAACAATACCTACATAGAATTTGAATCATTTATTTTGTTAAAAAGAAGAAGCTGTGTCTAGAACATCGGGTGCCCGGCCAGACTGTAGTAAACTGGGCTCTTGGATAAATATTGGGTAACCGAGCGTTTGGTGCACACTGTCCCGGTTCAAACTTTATGAGACCGAAAACAGAAGTATAAAATATATGTACACTGTTGAGTAGTTAGTAGTTTTTTTAGTTTAAAATAGTGAATTGTTATCACATATTATACAACAATATAGAAAAATTCATAAAATAAAAAATATAATCGGTGATAATATTAATTTACGCCGACATTCATAACTAAAGACCGTATTTTGCATAAAATGCATGCTGCTATTTTCAACATAATATACATGCAGTCAATGAGTGTCCACAAATCATTACTTGATTGATTAAATATTAAAATATTATAGTGCATATTTTTACATATTCTGACGTTAGTACATGTTCTGCATATTTTTTTTATATTTTAACAAAATACCGTACAAATATACACCTAACGATCTAAAAAGGTGTTGAGAGAAAAAAAAACGGATTATAGGTATGTTTATATAATATTAATATCAAATATTTTACATCTCAAAGAATATTCGGATGCTAAAAATAGGTTAGGTTATTGTTTTTCCAATTAACATACTTCATTAAAATTTTTGTTCTTTTTCCTATTTATATTAGTATATCACCAATGTATCTACTATTTAATTTTAATAGAATATTTTTTACAATTTATCAATGATAAACAATTAAACTACAATTTAGCACATTACATTATTGTGTTACATATTTGTTATATTATATCTTACTTTTTGTTTATGAAAATTGTAATAAAACTATGATAATGATAAATTATTATAAACTATTATTACTAATGATTATCACTGCAAGATTAAAATCAAATAAAAAATGTAATAAAAATAGTAATTTTATTTTGCATGTTTTGCATCTTTTTCTTGCATATTTTGACTTTTTTAGTGCATGCTCGCATGTATATTTTAAAATTTTAAATGCATATAAATCCGGTCTTTAGTCATAACTTATAAGATAATATTAATTTAATTGAATTAAACACAATTAAAGCAAAGCCAATCCTTGGTTTGCTGCTTTGATGTACACAATCAATGTAATACCAATATAGGCAACTATCACCTAATATTCTTTTGCATTGAAAATTGCCTTTCATTAAAGTTATAATTATCTAGGTTACCAAAGTTTTAAAATTAACATACCTAAATCTCTTAAAATGTTTTTGTTATCTTATAGGTAGCATCCCTGGTAGCATAAAACTGTGATCATAGGAATATATGCAAATAACACTAAAATATTGGAGTACATTAAGAACCCCTCCTTACCATGTCCGTTATATTTGATATCTTTTTTAATAAAATTATTACCAATTTAAATAGTACCGTCTTAAGTGTAGGTACTAGGTAAAATCAAATTTTGATGCAACTTAAAAAAATAATATTACTATTTTAGAAAATGACGCCCTAGGCCTATGTCACCTACCCCTTGAATTGGGCCTGAATTTAATTAAATTCTAAGTATATGGCTGTGAATATGTAGGCAAAAGCATTCTTTTTAGTTTATTATATAGTACCAATAGCTTTCTTAATACCTTCTCTTAAATGAGTAGTTTTTGACAAAATCGATTTTGGTTTTGGTAAAACACAAAACAGTATATACTTGAAATTTTCACCAAATGTTTATATTAGTATTGTCTATGGCAAATCCATGGCACGCGGGTCCGAGGGGGCGCTCGAAAATTGGGCTGCATCCGAATTGCATGCCAAAATAAAAAATGTCCCAATTGCATGCCGTTTCCTGTAGGGGTCTGCCCAAATTGCATGCCATCTCTTAGAGGGCTTTGTCCGGATTGCATGCCATACACCATACGTTTATTGACTATGCACTTAAACAACTTCAACTTTTTTTTGGACTTTCCTAATTTTTTAAAAAAAATGCTATTATACTATTTTATTATTCAAAAAAGGATGTTTCTATATTGACATATTTTATTATTATGAATTATTATTATATATTATTTTGTTTATTTAAATTGTAATATTGTGTGCCCGAAATGTCAAAAAAAACCACCAAATTTAAAAATAATATTATTTAAAATAAACTCACTTGATTACTCTAAACTACAATAGTTTTATTTAACTAATTGTCTTTGTTGTCGATGAAAAAAAAAATAGTTTTATTTTATGATTCTTATTCACAGTGTCACCTTCTACAATATTTATATGTTTTATTGTAATGTAACCAAATCCCAATCCTCCAGTTGAAAAGTAAGTTATTTTTTCGGATATACCCCTCTAAGAGACTGCATGCAATTCAGACGACCCGATTTATATTTATTTTTTTGGCATGCAATTTGGATGCACCGGAAAATTGTAACTATTTTATATTATAAGACCTATAATAATCTAAACTAACCTTTTTATACTAATACATTAATTATATAATCAAATTAAAGTGTAACAAATATAATATTATTAATATTTTTTTCATGGCACGCTCCAAAAAAAAAAAAAGAAGCTAATTACGAATTTTGGGCACACAGTGTTTAAAAGGTTTGCCATCCCTGGTCTATACCTATGCTATTAAAATATTAAGATTATTTGACTAAGGTTTGAAACGAAATTGGATTTGTTAAAAATCGAAATTGAAAATAATAAACACTGATATTGAAAACCAAAAATCAAATTAGAAAAAATAAATACCTATACCCAAAACCCAAATCTATATAAAAAAAAAAATACCGATTTCCAAAATAGAAATCTGAAAAAATATTTTGGTTTCAAGTCCTGATTTTGACGGTCTTTGAGCTATTTATAGCCATAAGAAAAGTTTGACTCATTAGTTAATTTTAACTTATTGTCAATAAAATTTTTTTTTCTGGATCATATTTTAATGAACTTAACTATACTAAAGCTTTTCAGTATATTGTGAGTGATTGCTCTTCACTTTAACTGAATTTTCAACCTACTGTAATTTTTGTTGATTTTAAGGCGCCAATTCACACGTTTTTAAAGTGCGTTTGGCCAGGTGTTTATGATTAAGTTTTGCAGATTTCATCTAGCACAAAGTTGGTGGCGAAATAGTCTCCTTGAAACATAGGATGAGCAAGATACATTATTTTCTCCTAATATTTGGGCTGAGTTTGCAGTGACCACAAATCGCACCACTAATAATAGTTGTAAAAGATTTCATGCAAAATTAAATGCTAGTTAAATTGTTGTTAATTTTTTTTTAGAGGTATATTTTACACGTCAAAGCACAGATCACATATCCTCATGAACATTTTTTTTTTTTGTAATATTTGAAACAGCTACTCTTTGTTAATTGTTGATAAACGATTTTTGACATTTTCTCACTGTTTACTGAAATATTGCACTATATACTGGTTTACACATATCCATCGGTAGTAATAAATATAATTCAGGTACAAAATCATGTAGTAGTGACGATTTGGAAATTTTTGGTGTTTGAAATTATTAGGCATAAAGCTATATATTATATAGAAACTCACTTTGGACGATAACAAAACGTGGAACACAACTGCAATTAGTGATATTGTTTTATACCTTTTTCGGCCCCTACGGTGTTTTATATTTATTTGTCATGGGACAAGGCTGATACGACGAAAAGGCACAGTAATCAAAATATCTAGATCTAAAAGAATCCCACTGCCCTCCGCCACGAGCGAAAATCGACTATTCCCGGTCAGTTGTTGTGGTATAGGCCTACCATTGCAGGACGTTTTGATCCATTAATTAGTCGTGTCGAGAACGTTAAAATATTACAAAAAAACCCAAATATGCAATAAAGACATGATGAATAAAAGTAAAATTTTAACAAATATGCAAGATAAAATTGATAAAATTTGAATTCTTTGAGTGATGAAACAACTTCTATAAACATCCGCTCTCTAGTTATTACTATTGTAATTTTAATTGAATTCCATAATTAAAGATAGGTCATAATAATTATTAAAATTGTGTATAATGTGTGTACAATATCGTAGTAAGCCTTTGAAGTTCAAATTTTGAATAACTTTGACAAAAACACAAACTTAAACAAACTATTTTGCAAGTAGTTGAAAATTTATAAATTGTTAATGCTTGAGAATTGAATACAAGGTTACTTGTAAGAAGTTTATGCATGCACGTAGCTAATATTCATAACAGGGTGGCCTAATTATGGCCAATACTTTTACTCCCCCCTTCCTACCACCACCAGATAGTAATTTAATTATGTTTAAATTATTTATAGCATAATTTTGGATTATTATGAATATAATATCCAGTACAATTAAATAAGTAGATGTTATGATTCTAAATTTAAATAAACAAAAAAATTAGATAATATTTATCTTTATTTATATTTATATATATTAAAGGGAAAAGCCTTTTACAACAATTTAACACAAAACAATTAAAATTTAGATACAATATAAAAGTTTAAACATGATGATGATTCATTTTATAAATCTTATATAATAATATAATGCATATGAATAGTAAGTATAAATGTATTAAATTTAGGTTAAATATCTGAAAGGCTTGAGTATCTTTTTAAACACTAGTAAAATTAAGTTGGGTGTTGAGCTCCAGTTCTTTAATTAAATTGTCTATATTTGATTCTGAATCGCTATTGCTATAACAAACATAGACATTTTCAAATATGTTTTAATTTTTTTTACTCAATTATTTCAGCCTTGGATATTTCAACAATATATTGGAGTAGCCATCAGGGTGGCCTGTAAATATTATCCACCCCAAGCCACTCCTTAGCTGATTTACATTTTTAAGCCTTAGTTATAAATATTGAAAACTTTAACATTTAACTACAAAATATTTAGCATATTCAGTAAATATAATCACTTTTTGAGACAGTAAAAATGCTTCATTTTATACTTTTGCATACTTTCTTGAAATAAAGTGAATCTAGTTGTTATTAGAGGAGGGAAAGAGGTTCCAAAGTAAATAACTCTTGGTAGTTTCCTAATGCACCAGAAAAATCAATTTCTAAGCATTTTTTATTCAAATTTAACAATATCACAAAAATCTTTTTTTTTTAAATTGTCATTATGGCTTGATTGGTTTAGATAGTTAGGTTGAATTAAAATTACTGCTAGGATCTTGTCCTATCCCTTTTATTTGACTATTTTTAGCACTGCTGATGACATCAAAATTGGATTTTGTTTTAGGTACAATTTATAGATGGATAGAGAGGAAGCCACTAACAGAAGCAGTTATATGGACATCTAGAGAAAAATTTTGGTTGATGACATCTGCATGTCATTATGGGACTCATGATTGGTAAATATAGATAGTATAAATAGTCACACGAGGGTTTTGAAATTATTTCAAATAGAAATTAAAAAGTGAAAAAAAAAGAAGTTTTTCTTATTTATTGAATTCTATACAGTTGTATTAATTATATTGTTTCTAGGAAATCAGTTGCTCAAGTAGTTCGAAATGCGGGAGAACCGTATAGGCCTCGAGAATGGTATACACCAAAAAGCTGTGAATGCCAGTTTAAAATTATTATATCTAATAGTAGCAAGGAAGTAAAGTCATTGCCCCTTAATGATATGCTGGAACACATTGCTGATGGCTTAAAAATTGGTAAATAAATAGTTATATTTTATTGTACTTCATAAAAATTTTATGGAAGTGTTATGAACTTATGAATTATGTTTAAAATTAATTTTTTTTATTGAACATAGATTACATGCGAGATGCTAATAAATCAAAAGATGCTTTAAAATCAAAGTACTGTAATTTATTCAGTGTTTTGAATCGTGTAAAACAAGGCAATTTGTCAAGAAATGAAGTTGTTAGCCTTTATTCACAAGCAAGAAGGTTGCTATTGTTTATTTCATAGTACACAGTTAGTATATTATATACCTTATTTTTTTTTTTGCAGAAATGAAATTGAAGGTAAACAATATATGGATCAACTTATGACCAGGCAAAATGCTAGCTTAGCTTCTGAAAATTCCAGTTCTGGGTTGATAGAAGAGGTAAAAAGAAAAATACACATATTTAATTAATTATTTATGAAGTGTTCAAGTGAAATAATTGTAGCTTTTGTGAAATTAAAAATAACACTGGCACTTAGCACTCATTGTTTAATATACTAACTATACTAAACAATAAGCTATCATATGATCTTAACTCTTTGAAAATGTTAAATCCCGTCTATAATCATGGTACTAGTGATGTTACGAACCCTGATTTTTCGAACTCGAACCAAACCGAACTTTTCAAAATATTTTATCGAACTCAAACCGAACATTAAAAAAGTCCAAAGGTTAAAAATGTACTATTCATTTATTGTTTACTATTTAGTATTTATTATAAACTAATGATTATCTTATAAAATATAAAGTTATTAAATAAACATTAAATAATAAAAAGTATTAACAATGGAAATTACAATTTATTTTTATAAATACATAAATATTAATTATTAAATATTCAAGTATACTCATGATTTAGGTTTAGAAATAAATAAATAATTTATTTATTTTATAAATTAATAATTAACTATCAAGTATTAACTACTTCTTGCTAGTTGCTACTATTTCTTATTATTTTTTATTTACATTTTGTATCAAATTTTAAATTATATAATTAAATATTAATTTAAATATTGCATGTAAGAACACCAATTTTTTAACCGGTTTAGGTGATAGCCTTTGTCTTCGAGCTGTAACCACTTGTCCTGCTTTGGAATGAATAAATTCTCTACAATAAATATATTATTTAAAAACTTATAAGTTTAAAGTCAGTATCAGTATAAACTAAAGAATAAAGTATTAACTAAGGACGGTATAAACGGTACGATAGATGATACTACAAAATACAAATGTTCACTGTTTAGTGACGACTAAAGATAGAAAAAAAACCAGACCGTTGAAAATATTGGGTGCAGCAGTAATATCAGTTATTACATAACAATTTATATTTTATAATATAAAATAATATTAGATAAAATATTATTAATAAGCCACAGATATTAAAATTGAAAACAACCAAACAATCTATTTTTGTATCTAGGGTTTTCATAACCAGACCCCCCTGCACCGTCTGGCGTAGGAAAGTTGTATCACGGTGGGCTCGGTGAAACGCGCGGTATGGGGGTATGCCGTGCCGCCGCCGGTTGCAACTCGCAATAAATAATAATAATTATTAATTACTATAATAATGTTGGATCGTCTGATCGTCGACTTGTTTTCTCTGGATCGATTGTCGAACTGAACTATTAGGTATTTGGTTTGGTTTGACTATTTGCAATTTTTAGCTCGGTTCGGTTCGAAAATCGAACAGTTCATAACATCACTACATGGTACGTTATTAAAAATGTGATTTTCTGAAAAATTCTTTCTTGTATGTATAAAATAAGATTCAAATATCTCATAAATAAAAATAGTATTTAAAAAAATTTGGTTAATTATATTTATATTTATGTCAATATTATAGCAGCCAATTAAATGGAATACGCCATCCGCACCATTATTAACGAGTCTTCTAAGATCTCGTAATACTATACCAGTTAATAGGACTGCCACTAATATTGCTTCTTTATTACAATCTCCTGGCGGCACATCAAGGACTAGATCTGGAAAATTATTACCATTAACTCCTAGCATTAGAACTACACAAGGTAAATTTGGATTTGTTGTTATCTTTTATTTAATGATTTGTTAGACGACAATATCTTTTATACATTTTTAGGAACTCCTACACTTTCTAAACTCCTCGAAGCTCCAGCAAATCCTTATATACCAAGTCCACCACAATCAACACAGAAGAATAAGTTAAGTAAGTGTAAAAATGTTTACAATGAAAATATTTTGGCCAGTTATTAGTGTATGATAATACACTATTATAAATAGTTTTCTTGGATTAATACTTAAAATGTTTTTTTGTCTTTAGGTGAAGTTGGAACAGAAAGGCTTGCTGCTAATACTTCTAGAAAAGTAAGTTAACAATTATGTGATTTAAAATAACATCAAACTAGTGTAATTTGTTTTAATATTTGCTTCATAAAATCATTTCTATGTCTGACTGTCATTTTAAAGTTCTATAGGTATGAAATCTGATTACATCATATTATTTTTCAATATATTACAAATAGATATCATTTTTTTAGATGAAATATATTTTTCATATAAATTCATTTGAATATTTTGATTATTACATGAGATAATAAAATAATTTAAATTTAACCCAATGGTAATATAGTTATATTACCTATATATTTTAGGAAGTCAATATTTTATTCAAGTATAAAATAAATATATTATAATATTTATTAATTATAAACTATTTATATTATATTAGTTTTTAATGTATATAAGACTTAACAAAATTGTACAATGCAATAATAATTTAAAAGCATTTAAATCGTATCTTTATAAAAGTTAAGAATATATTTTTGTATGTGGCGATTCTATTTATTTTCAATAATAAACTCGTTTTATCGTGTTAAGGGTGGGCCTTTTTAAAGGGGTTGAACATGGTCAACATCTTTTAATGTGTATGTGAGAGTGCTGTAGTGTGTGTGTGTGCTTGTAAATAATCATTGGTCTGCATGACGTGATAATTGATCATTAAGGTTGAGAAACTAAATATTTTTGTATCGCGTTAGGTCACTCATCAAAATGTGCCTGTTTGATTAATATGTACTCCGGAACGACTGTGGAAGGTACTAAAAGTGGAAGAAAAATTCTCTCAGTAGTATTGACCTTAAAACTTTAATTATTAAAATATTCTTAATCCTCTTCTAGATTTTGTGGGAAGTATCTGGTTATTGTTTTGTTTATTTATTAATTTTTTGTAAAAAATAAACATTAAGTGGATTGCAGCTTCTTTTTTAAATTTTTTGACCAACAAGCTGTGGCAAATTGTATTGATTCTTTACCAATTATCTATGTTATTTGTTAAGTTGATTTTCGATTTAAAAGAACTTTAAAATTGAGATATTATGTATTTTTGAAATTCTGTGAAATAATTTCATTATACTTATATTTATTTTGGACACATCAGATTTGAAATTGTGATAGCAATTCTTCAATAGCCTAATTTAGAAACTCGCATATTCAATATTAATTTTGAAATTTCAATCAAACTTTAAGAAGTAGGGTTAATTTTCTACCGCTTTTAGTAGTTTTTAATTATGCAAACAAAAATGTATTTCATTTTCCGCCATGTATTGATAGCCTGCAAGAGCTTAAAATTATGACAAATAAAACACTAATGTTAATTTGCTATTTGGACATTGACTCAGCCTAAATGTGCATGTCATATGAATTGCCTAAATATTATTCCTTAAAACATGCTATGCTCAAGCCCCTTTAAACAAGCAAAACAAATGATAATGTTTTTCCTTTATAACAAAAATATGAGCTTACCAATTTAAATATTTTTTGAAACCGTTAATTTTTCTTCCACAAATATGGAAGAAATGCATGATAAATCAAACCGCTTTCAACTACCTTAACATTCTCTTATTTTATTCAATACAAATACAAATTAACATGTGAATATTTTCATAGGAGAACTCGCAGTCAACATCATTAAATAGAGGACGAGTAGATAATATGACGACACTTGGGTCTTTTAATCAAGTCAATAAATCTGATTTATCAGCTACAAAAAAACAGACATCTAAAAGCCCGGTTTCAGTAGTTAAAAATGTATCAAAAGCAAATTCAAATGTTGTTAATCTATTAAGTGACAGCGACACCGACGAAGAAACTAAAAATACCAGTCTTAAAAGTTCGCTTGGAGATAAAAAAGATATTAGTAGTAGACTTGAACCTAGAGCAACAAGAAGTCAAACTAGAGCAGAAGGCAGTTTTAAACAATTTAATACTAAACTGTCTGATGGAAAAAAAGAACGTGAAAACTTGCGACAACAAAGTGGAGGATCTCAAATTAATGAAACTCAAATAATTGACGATGATCTGATTGATGATTTAGACCAAATTGAAGTTGAACCATTATCATCCGTTCAAGATGAAATACAATCTCAAACTCCTTCTAAAATGACACGATCTTCCTTACAAAGACTTCGTCTATTAAGCCCGGGAGATAATTTATTGACAAATACTAAAGTTAATAATAAAGAAATAAGTAATAAAATGTTGGAGGAAATATCAGCTAACTTTGTTTTAAATTCCACTTCAAAAAGTATAGCTCCAGGGTATAAATGCTTGTTGGGTCTACCCGACGACCCTAGATCTGAAAGTCTGATTCCTGTAGATAGGAGTGCTTGTAAAGAGGCCATTATGATACGTAAAGAGAGCCAACTTGCACAAAATACATTAGCTACATATAATGGTAAATTATTAAAACAAAAAGGAATAATTGAAATAAAAGCAGGAAATATAAAGTGCGTTGATAGTAGAAATGATTCAAAATTATTGTCATATAACAACCAACCTATTGTAGTAGTTAATAAAATCAAAAAACCATTTAACATTCAATTTGCTTCAGAGCAGAGGAATAAAACTGATGATATTGAAGTCTCAAACACTGATGTTAAAAAACCTATCAGATTAAATAATAGTTCACAAAATGTAGTTGAATTAATTGATAGTAATTGTTCATTAGCTGCCGATGACGTTATTGTTATTGATGATGATATAAACATTAATGAAGATAATAGAACAACAATGAAAACTAAGGAGTTAATAAGTAAAGGTGAATCAAAAACCTTGCCTTCAACTATTTCAAGTAATTTAAAATCAACTGTACATCAATTAGATGATAAAAAAAATAAAAATGATAAATCCCCATGGAATATGTTTGGGAAGACCCAAACTATTTCGGATACTACAAAAAAACATAGTCACCAAGATAGTGCATCTAAAAGTGGAACTAATAGTAACATAAACGAGTCTAACAACCGTTTCATTAAAGAACTAGATTTTGATTTTGATCAATCGATCTCTGAATTATATAATGGCGTTGATGCAATTGTTGAAATGCACTCTTTTGACAATGAAGAATTAAATTCTTTGATTGAATGTGGTTCGTTAGATAGTAATGATACTGAGGAACGAATTGATTCAGTTGGTGCGGATCAAGGTGATTCTTCTGTGAGTGAAAGTGATTCAACTATTGGAGCATTTGATACCTTTGCTCAGATCACTAGAGTACGACAAAAGTCATTTACTCCTAAAAACAATAAATTAGATATCAAGGATTTAAAGACTACAAACCAAGAAGTAAAACATTTAAAAGAGAATTTCTGTCAGTCTGAAGAAATTTATGATGATCAAACCTCTACAGCATCATCGGTCTCTGGAATACCTATTTTAAAGGGTGTTTTATCTGATGTTATGAGTCAAATTGGTTTAGATAGTGTTGCATCCCATGAAGTACTACCTAGTACTGATGTTGTTGAAATAAGCAGTGACGAGGAAGTGATGGTAGATGTTCCAAAAGCACATCCTTTAGATGTCAAGCAAATTCAAACACGAGAAAAAGAAGTGAAGTCCTATAAATCTCTAAAGAATGACGATGAATTGATAAAAATACATGAAATAGAAGCTAAAATGTACAAAGGAATTAACATGAAACAAGGATCTAACACCATTAAACCATCAAATCTTGAAATGCCACAATGTATCGTTGTTAAAAATCTTACATCTGATGCTATTAGAACACCATGTAATAAAATACTAGAATTTAAGGAAGATATTGCTCAGAAATACGACAATCAGGCTATTGAAATGACGTTTGTCTCAAATACTGTTAATATAAGGAAAGATAATGAATCATATGAGGCTGAAGTCAATCAACCACAGGAAATAACAGTTAAAATTGCCAATGAAAAATTAATTAAAGAAACTGAAAAAATGAAAAAAGAAGGTAAAGAAAGCGAAGAAAGAAAAAAAAAAGATGAGGAAAGAAAGAAAAAAGAAGAAGACAATGAAAGAAAGAAAAAAGAAGATAGCGAAAGAAAAAAAAAAGAAGAAGATGAAAGGAAGAAAAAAGAAGATGATAGAATGAAAAAAGAACTTGAAAAGAAACGACAATATGAGTTATTTGTAAGAAAGAAAAACGAAGAGGAAAGAATTAACAAAGAAGATTACGAAAGAAAGAAAAAAGAAGAAGAAGAAAGAAAGATTAAAGACTTACAAGAAAAAATGAAATTAGAAGAACAAAAGAAACTCGAGAGAGAAAAAGAAGCCGAAGAAAGAGAAAATGAAATAATTAGAGAAAAGTTAAAAGATTTCCGCAACGCTATGAGAGCTGATTTATTTAAAATGCCAATGAATGCAGTTGTTAAAGAAGAACCTATAGATGAACCTATGGATTATTTTCCTCCTGGCTTTTATGCACACAGCAGTGGACGATTAATTAAGGAAGAATTAATAGATGAACAAATGTTCGATGAACAAATAGTACATGAACAATTAATACACGAACAAGTAGTACATGAACAAATAATAGATGAAGAAATAATGAATGAGGAAATAGTAAATGAAGAAATAATAAATGATGAAATAATAAATGAAGAAATAATAAGTGAAAGAATAGTAAATGAAGAAGTCATTGATGAAGATTGTTTTATAGATGATGAACTTAAAACGCAATCATGTGATGATGACGATTTATCTTTGAAAACGGATTTAATGAGTCATATAGAACCTACTGATAGCAGAGATCTCGAATTACAATCTATAGCAGAAGCTTTGAAACTCCGAAACAAAATAACAAAATATAAAAATAGTGAAGACTTGAAATGTAATAGAGAAATAAAAATAACAGCAAGGGATGTTCAAGTGCAGAGAGGATATATTGGGTGCCAAAGAAAAACTATTGAACAGCAATCTTATGTGGCTGAGGTATCTAAAAAACAAAGAGCTGTGGAAACTGAAACACAACAAAAATCTAAGGAAGAAAATGAACTTATATCTGGAGCACTTAAAGAATATAAAATTAGAAGAGCAAAAGAATATGAATTATTAAGTATAGAATTAGCTGAAAATATTGAAACAAAAAAATCCAAAGAAGCTGAATTAAGAATAGTTGAAGAAACTGCATTAAAAGGAATAGATAAGAGAAGTTTGAAAAAATTGAAAGAACCAGAAAATAATCAATCGGTTGGGCATACAAATGTCAATTTGTCAAAAAATTATGTAGTTCCTCCTGTACATTTTAAGAAAAAAAACGATTATGTAGAAACTGATACTAATATAGAACAAGGATTGATTGAAAGTAAAAAAGCGGCAACAAATATTGAAACATTTAATGTAAAAGAACGTGGAATAAAGAAGTTAGTGGGATCTGAAGGGAAAAGCACTAAAGGAATAGAAACAATTTCAACCGAAGCAAAAATGATCACTAGGACAAGGGGACTTAAGGGCGAAGAAAAGCTTAAAGAATCAAATGTTTCTAAAAATATGTCTACTAAACTACGATCACAAATTAAATTTCCTGGGTCCTCAATGTCTAGTGCAAGTCCAACTAGTGAGGAAAATCCACCCATTCCTAGTTATGAGTATAAAAAACTAACCAAAAATACAGATGATACTAGTAAACGCAATAGCATTTCAAACACATTATATGATAATAAGAACAATAGAGATTTAAACATTGACTCTAATGTCATTGTTAGAAAAGAAAATTTGAATCGTGAAGTTATTGGTATTCCAAGAACTCGTACTCGTTCCTCATCTTTTAAGCAAGTTACAATTTCAGAAACTAGGTCTTCTAAGAAAGACCAAAATAATGGTGCAGCTGTCATTCCAAAAGAAACGGTGGGAACAAAGACCCTAGTTTCAACTTCTACACACCCCGATCATCGGACTACAAGATCGAAAAGTCCCCCAAAAACTATTTTAAATAAACATACATTTGATGATGGTGGTAAAACATTGGTTATCCCTGTAGTAATGTTAACTACAAGTGAAATTCCACTTCACAAAATACAGCAACGATCAGTTACCAGCTTTATTAAGCAACAAGAAATTAAACCGTAAGTAAATTACCCCAATTATAATATAGGAGTTAATGTTAATAATAATAAAAAAAATGTTTAAATTTCATATTGCAATTATGTTTTGTTTGATAGAACACATGACCAAAGTCAAAAACAAGTTGTAACTGCAAAGCAGTTAGTTAAGTCGCCTCCTAAGAAACGAGGCCGCAAACCTCGAATTAACATTCAAAATAAAAAACTTCAAGAGTCTTATAGGTATGATAAATATAATTAATAATTGTATTGTGTACAGATGGCTTATATAACAAAATCGAGAATTTATTAAAACAATTTGTTGAATTTTTATTTAATTTGTGGTTCTTCTTGTGATAAACAAAAACATAACAATGTATTAGTTTACATTTATTGCTAATATTCATTTTAACAAATTTTTAATTTTCAAATCTTGATTTATTTATTTTATAAATCTTTCTGATGTATACCTCAGCCTTAATGTACTCCTATTTTTAATTAAGTTGATGTGTAATTATTGGATCATCATAATCTTTTCTTCATTGAAATTACATATATTGCGGGTCTATTACTTTATAACTTCTTAAATTTTATTTTACATTCAAATATTATTTAGTTAGTTTTTCCATATTTATATGGGTAATGTTGATAGTTATGAATTCTAGAGATAGAAAACAACTGATAAATGTAATAACATTTAATATTAAGAGGACATCACCACCCGTATGTTTTGTCTCCATCTTACACTCATTTGACATACCAAATTTTCTTTCACTAGTTTCAATAGTGGGCTGGTAGTTTTAATAATAGGCCAATTGACTCTTTTTCAAATTTAAATTTACATTATGTTAATTTCAGCAGTAAAAACATCATCATAAAAACAACATCTCAAAGTGAGGCAAAAATGAGCACATTGATAAAAGTATGTTATCTATTTAGAAATTTAAAATGTATTTATTTATTTTAAATGATTTTCTATAGGAGATAGAACCTTTGGCTAAAAGAACCAGAAGGAGTCTTGGGCTACGTGGGTTTAAAAATAATTCCACAAATAAGTAAGATACAATTTTATGTTAATTTTTGATAAAATATTTTATTATCTTAATGGGGGTTATTGATTCTATATTATAAATATTAAGTTTTTTATTTTTTTCCCCATGTTTTTTATATAGGCAGTTAGATCATTCTCAGCCACATTCAACTGCAGTTCAGCCTTATTCAACCGAAGTTCAGCTATATTCAACTGCAGTTCAGCCATATTCAACCACAGTTCAGCCATTTGAATATAAAGGAAAATTTGGAAAGATGGAGTAAGTTGAATTTTTATGTTAATTTTTATTAAAATTAATTTTATTACTCTTTAAGATTATGTTAAACCTGCTTGTGTCTTTGTGCTACACACATATATTACAGTAAATCTATGTTCCAAATTTTTACTACAGTGCATTTATATTTAGTAACTTCATATTAGAGCAAATCATTGAATTCATAGATGTGATTGATCCATTGATGATATCTAAATTTGCTCTTATATTATCTATTAATAACCATAGTCAGAATTCAGTATATAGATTTGTTGTGATACATTTATACTATATGTCAATGTCAAAGGTGGGTAACTGGCGGTCCGCAAGCCTTTTTTATCGGGCCCAAACCACATTTTTAAATTACATCATACAATTTTAAAGTTTATCGTCTATACTCTATAATCTATTTAACATCAATTAAAGTTTATATTTTGAATGAACTTTTGTTTTTGCTTTCTATTCTCTGGCCCGCTAGATTTTAATTTTCTAAACATTTTCCCTCTAGTAACTTTGAGTCTCACATCCCTGCTACATGTGACAAAATAACACATCAAGTATGTCATCTGTTTTCATTGCTTTTATTGTATTATATGTTTATACAGGAAGTCTTGGTGATTTAATAGTTTTAAAACAAAGAGAATAAAAAATAATTATAAACTATTAGTTCCTATATAATAAATCTATGTACTGTATATAGCATGGTTGGGTAGATAGTATAATATTGGCTCCATTGCTTCTATGTAAAATTAGTCTTCGGGATAATTGACCAACAGACGAAAAATGTTTAGTTTCCCAGTTATTTTATTACCCTAGAACATTAGTATTTAAATATGAGAGAATTTTATATTAACTATAATGTTTAGTTATGAAGATGAACATACGTATTTTCCGTTTTACTTGGTAACAATGCAAATACCATTGTTCACATTTCTGCAAATTTGTAGTTTTTTTTTGAGTGGAGAATTATTAATAATAGTTTATTTTCTATGGGACACTGTTTGTTAAAATTCAATCTAAAAAAAAAAATATTGGTATGCCTAGAATAAACGTGTGACATCACTGGGCCAGGATCAGCATAATCCCTTATCTTATGCTTGTAAAAGTTGATCGCTTTACACAATGATTTACCAACCTAAACATTTTATTTTTGATGTTTGACTTATGTAGATATATGTGATATTTTGTGCTTAAGACGATAGAAGTATCAGACTTTCAATTTAACCTTTGGTTTTTTTTTTATTAAAAATACTAAATTTATATGACTCATATATTAAACCTCTTAAAAAAACTCCACATACATAAAATCAAAAAACTATAAATGTTTGTTCGACAATCAATTATTCTAGCAACCAATTGTATACGCAGTCAATCCGCCGTGATTATGTATAGTATACATTGTTATTACTTATATTATAACTTATAGTATATATATTTGCTTATAATATTATTTTCCTAACACTTATAAAATTTGTTAAGAAATATATCTTAAAATATATTAAATTGCCAATTGTTTGTAGAATGGATTAATGAAATATGTATTAGTCTCTGACTTACCAAGTTCTATTTAATTGTTATTGGAAGTATTAAAACATTATTTTTTAAATTATTTTCTGTATAATTAAATAACAATTTTATTTGTTTATCAAATTTCACTCAGTGTGAGTCTAGTCATCAATTATCATAAAATAATGTATTGTTTTTATGGATCTCGTAAAATTATCAAACAAATTAATGATATTATAAAGTCTACATTTTATAGATTTTGAAGATTAAGTTCTTATTATGTGACTGAATAAATAGTTGTCTGTCTTCTATATAAGTTATTAAATTATTTGATATGTCATATGTTAATAACAGTTTTAAAATGAAAAAGATTTTTAGCATTTAAAGGTATAAACATACATAATAATTTATAGAATGATTATATATTAATATTTCAAATTATTTGAAGTTCTATATTATGTTTTTAGAATATATATGTATATATTATATAACAGGGGTCGGGAACCTGCGGCTCCAGAGCCGCATGCGGCTCTTGTTAATGCAACCTGCGGCTCTTTGGATAATTATCAATATAGACATATCCGTAAAATATAAATTATATTATACGTTATTATAACGACAATAATTCTGATTTTCTCAATAGTTATTTATTAATCTTATCGCTAAAAAAGTTGTTCAAACCTGTGCGGCTCCCTGGATATCATAGTTTTGTATTTTTTTAAAAGAATGGCTCTTTCCTACGAAAAGGTTCCCGACCCCTGTTATATAACTATGTTTAATTACTGTAAATTTATTTTTTTAGTTTTATTAAAAAAAGACAATGCGTGACGATTATGAAATTTATTTATGACAAGATATGTGAAGATTTAAAAACTATTACAATTCTTAACGAAGAAGTTATGAGTGTTTCTTCACAAGTGCATGTGTTAAGATGGTGAGCATATTTAAAAACCTAGTTAAAAGTCTTAAAATATATGAAAGCAATTAATTTTAATCATTATTTATTAGTTTAAACTTAAAAGTAATGGTTAATACTTGTATCATCATATAATTCTATTAACTTGGGTTTTTTTCTTTTATTGTAGTTTTCTCTGTGTTATATTTTTACAGGATTTAATATTCTGATTAAAGCAAGTCTATAGTAAAATGTTGTAGTTTAAAATAAATGAAATTGATATTACATAATGTATTGATGTATATGTATTCTAATTATGTTTTAATTTAATAACATTGTTTTTGAATTACTTATTTCAATTATTATTTAATTAATTCTAATTTAACTTATTGTTTGAGTGATAAATGGATCATGCATCTAAATATTGAAGGATTGAAGGATGAATTGTTATTATTTTGATTTACTTGTTTATTTTACAGTCCAGTTGACTTACATGATATTAATAGATTTATCATTTCTGGACAATTAATAAGACTTGGCGACCTTATGGTAAATCTTATGGTCTTGTCGTACAATGCTGCAATGATGAACAAGTCTACCTCTATAATTTCTAGAAGAGCTTATAGATTTCAATTGGATCTTAAAAAGAAGTATCAGGTATTACATATTTTCTCATAAATATTGTATTAAATGTTTAATATTTATGTTTTGTTTGTCTGTAGAAACTTTTAAAAGCAGTTGGTGAACATGATTCTGACTTTCAAAATGTGCCTGTATTATGTACCTCGTTGGGTATAAAAGACTATTCTTCTTTTAATGTGAAATATACTGAAGACGATTTGGAAGAAATTCATCAGTTTTTTACTCTTAACAAAAAATCATTTAATGATATGGAATATGATTATTTTGATTCTTCTAGCTGTGAGTCCGCTGATTCTGATTGTGATACTGAACCACCTAAAAAGAAAAGAAAAATAAACATGTCCGATTCTTTTAGTTCCGAAAGTGAATAAAACTCTTTTGATAAACAGAATTTTAATAATTATCTCATATGCCCTTTGTTTAATATATATTGTTTTATTAATAACTATAATTTGTATTCATTGTTTTCATTAATAATGATTTTTTTATAGACATTTCTTTTAAAATAAAATTATATTGCATCTAGTTTTATAAATTATATAGTACCTATCTCTAGTTTTATTTTTCTTTGCTCAAGTCTTAATTATTTTTCACATAAACTTGCAATTTAATCTTTATTCTTTACTCATTCAACTCATGGCATTTTCTACAGTGGTATTTTGATAGAATGTTCTGTGTGCTCTTGTACATTTTAAAATTATTAGCAATAGTGATCAGTTCTAGCAAAAAACGTTATAACTAAATAATATAATGTTTAATGTTGAAAAATATTCCGTAAAACAAAAGTTTTAAAACAATAATTCAAATTAAATTATTATTCATAAAAAAAAAGAAATTGCTGTTTACGACTCAGATATCTGTATAAATATAACACAGTTTTAATTAATATTTTATAATTTCTAAATAAATTTGAATGATACCTTGGAAAATTTGCTATATTCGTTTATACCAAGAATATGATATACTTATTAAAAATTCATTTTACCGACTGAGAGATTCATACTGACAATAATCATATTTCAAATTATCTTTTTAATATTATTATTTGATTGTATTTGAAAACATTAAAAATAAAAATAATAATCAGTACCTTTAAGAGCAAATAATTGGATCTGTTTTTTTTTTTTTTATAAACATGTTTTTCAAATTAAAGTTATTTAACTTGGACAATTTTTTTTTGCAACAAATTGAGTGTTGTCAATGTAATGATAATGTTTCCTTGAGAATTTTGATTTATATGATTATAATTTATTGAAGAATCCAGTGACAGTTTTATTTATAATGACTTAAATAAAAACATATTTTGTAGTTGCCACAAAAATCAAGAATGTTTTTTGTCTGGTTTATTTCTCTTGTTTTTAATTATAATTATAATTTGTATGTACAATATTGTAGGCATATTGTGATTTATATTCATTTAAGAGAAATATTAAATAGGGATACAAGGTAATAGTGTGTAAGGTAGTAGTAACTCCGTTAATGTAAAATGTATAACGTAATGATTATTAAAAATCTTATCCATAAATGTTACTGTAAATATTCAAATACCAATGGCTTGTGTTGCTATGTAACAATCTATTTAATTATAGCTTTTTTTGTTTTTTAGACAACCTAGTCTATACCAATTATTGAAAAATACTGTCTTGTATTAATATTTTTTATAATGTAATAAAATATGTATAGCAGCTATTTACTTTTTTATTTGTATTTATCCTTAGATTAATAAATATACTTAGCTCAAAGGTATAATTTTTTTTCTAATTGTTAGAACCAAGTTAAGAGGACACCACTCCCGCCTGTGTTGTCTCCATTTTACAAATGTATAATATAGCATAAATGGTTTTGCTTTCTCTGTATTTATAGGAGAATCTCCAAAAATCCCATAACACTTATGGGAAAACTGTATCTGTGTCTTCAGGTACGCGTTCCTAGGTGCGTTAATATGTAACGCCCTGAAGCAGTAACTCGGTGGAATAAAGTACTAACTACTTAGTAGATATGAATGTATTATATAAGTACTATATAAAGGTGTCTTGGTACCTATTACCTTCGTGTCCTTAGTGATAACTAGACTTTAGTTAATACTTATTTTCAACTTAAAAATACACATCATTGTAAAATCAATATATTCATTGCTCCTCTCAGAACCTAAAATTGAAAATACTTTAACGGACCAACTTAATTAGATCCAATACTGAAGATTGTGTATCGTTACATGTGTATCGCTGTATAATTATATAATATACTAATTATCTCTATTATTTACCTAATTACTTTTTTTTACAAATAATTTAATGTTATTTGATGAACTTCTAGTGTAACTTACTAACTTATCAATGTAGTAACATGAAATGAATGTAATTTAAGGATTACGAGAACACAATTTTATTTTGATAACTTCACAACTAGATTGAAACTTAGAAGTAAAAGTAATATTAACATTTGATGAAAAATTTAAATTGTCTGTGGTTATTATTTTTTGAATTACAAATAAATATCAAAAATTGATTGATTAGAATTCGTTAATTTACTGGAAATAATCCAGTATCGTATAATTTTTAAATTCATCAAATGCTCATGATAAATGTATGTAACTTTTTGTAAACTTTTTTTTGTTATATTTATAAATTTCTGTCTGGAAAGTCATTTAAGAATTTTTACGACTTGATGAACAAACTCTAACTTTGGATAGCTACAAAAAAAATTTTTACTTAAGCTCAACTTTTTTTAATTTCACTATTATAAACATATGCGGAACTTAATATTGCATTTTCAAGTATTTTTACCAAACAAACATTTTAGATTTTGAGCAAAGTGATCATTTTTCAATGATGTGTTTTTATTTAATTTTTCCTGTGTCTGTCATCACGTTTTGGACAGTAAAAGTGCTTTGATTTTCTTCAACAGCATCCTTTCGGGTAGGAAAGTATATCTAGTTGATTCTTTGGAGTGTCAAAAGTTAAAAATTCAAATAGTTTTCAAAAGCGGGAGGAGAAACAAACAAAAAATTAAAGGAAAACTGGAATTTTTACGGATACCCTGTTTTCGACAAAATCGATTTTGGTTTTTGATGTAAATCTAAAACAAATGACCGCAGATACATGGAATTTTCAATGAATGTATTTATCCTCTTTTTATATTCACCATAAAATTTTGACACAGGTTAAACTATTTATAGTCATATAAAATGTTTGATTATTATTTTTTTTTTTAAATTTATGTTCATAAATATTTTTTTGCTTAGTCAAAAAACTTAAAAATGTAATACAAGGTTCCTCGTAAGTTGTTGTTAGTGGGAATTAATTAATATAGGTGTCGATTTTCTTATTTTGTTGTAATTCAAAATCGAATGACTACAGATACTTGAAATTTATACCATATTTTTATATTATCAATTCGCATACTTGATACAATTTTCAAACTAATTGACTTGTTTTGAGCTGTTTACAAGCATTTTCAACTTTCAATTTATTTGTTGGGTCATAACTAGAGGTCGGATTTTTATGATTTTACATATTTGTTTCTAGTTTATGCAGTTAAATGGGAGTGAGAAATCTTTACGAATCATGAAACACAGAATTCACAGGAAAAAATTTATTTTGCATAAAAAAGCATATTTTAGAGGTTAGAGAATATTTAACACGTTAGAGAATATTTGGGAATATTTTTGTGATACCCGGCATATAATGAACATATTTCACGCATATCAGCATTTGATAAATACAATGTTCACTAAATGATTTATTTCCGGATTTTAATAAAAATTAATCTCCAGGTATTCCTTATCGATTGCGAAAGCACAACGGTTATTTCGTTAGCTGTCACGAATATACATCGAACAATATATAGTAATTAATTGTTATTGTAAAATTAATTTAATTAAATATTTTTAAAACCAAATTAATAAAAAATTAATTTAAACTGTTTTTTTTTTTATATCAAAAGAATATTTTGCATATTTAAGGACATAAAACATCATATATCTGGTATTTTAAAGGAATATTAAGAGAATATATTGCTTATTTTATGTGACATACAAACATCATATTTTAAGGATTTTAAAAGAATATAAATCCGACCTCTAGTCATAACGCTTGAACATTTAGTACAAGATCCCTGATGTATTTTTACAATATCAGTTGAACAGTATAGAAATATATAGGTACAATTTTTTTTTTAACAATGATATAAAGTATCAAATTGAAAATGTACAAATTACTTTGTATTTGAATAAGTACCTATTTATAAAATGTTCAACATTTTCAGCTAAAGATCAGAAACTTATAACAAAGTTGCACACAAGTTGTTAATTATGTAACCAAAAAATCTAAAAAATATATAAATACAGATTTTCTCATAGTTATATAATGTTCAAATTTGGACGAAATTACATACTATTAAAGAATCAAAAGTACTGATTTTAAGTTGTTTTGATGTAATTAAAAAATATTATTCATGGGTATTTCCTTGAAACTTTTAGTGTATATTGTTATATTTTAAACACACAATGGCTTTTCAAATAGAAATTTTTTTGGCAAAAATGAATTAACCTATACTATAGTACTAATAACTAATAAATGCTTAGTAGTAAAATAAATTGCTTTAATCACAATAACGTTATCAAATATACTGAATTACTAAGTAATATTATATACCGACAGACCGTCTTTGCTCAGAATTGTTTTTCGTATACAATGTTTTTAATATTTTATATCATTAAATTCAAGTTTAACACCATCCATTACAATTGCCGAATTATAACTTACTGAACAGCAGAGCGACATCCACTTCCCCTCTTATTTTATTGATAAGAAATAAAATAAAAATTTTTAAAAAAATGTCTCATAGCTATAATTGCTTAAAAATAATCAAAATATTTTAAACATCGAATGCCTAATGGTGTATAGAAAATGCCAATATTAAAATTCGGTGAAAATTGCATGTACCTATGCAGTTAATCTTTCGAGTTGCGCCAAAAAAAATCGATTTTGTTCAAAATTAGTTTTGTGTAAAAATTGTCCTTAATTATTTTATTTTTTTTCTTCGTTTCTGAAAATTACTCTATTATTATTACTATTTTAAATCTAATACAATTTTTTTTCTGAATAATTCAAAATAAATATCCAATCTGTAAATTTGGGTTTTAAAAAACTTTTAATTGTAAGAACACTTACATTAAGTCAAGTGGCTTACTTTTTATGATTTTTCAAATATTTTCAAAAATTGTTGAACTCATTAATTTTTAAATTTAACTTTTATCAAAAAGTATTTACATTTTAACAAGTACCTTGCTAAAGGCTATTATAAAATACTTTAATAAATTTATATTTTCTGAACTTAAATGTATTTTTTTACTGAACAAAAATAATGAGATTTTAAAAAATTGAAAAAAATAAATACATGATTAAAAAAAATATTTTTTAAACCAGACCTAAAAATTAGATAATTTGAATCCATCAAAATACATT